CACAACCGGTATCGATACAAATTTCATAATTTATGTTATTGATTTTAACCTTACAATAACAAGTAAAAAAACCTCGTTGATTCAGTTTTGAGATCTGTTGAAATTCATTTTTAAGTTTTTCATTCATTATATTCAGTTTTTGATTGGTTAAGGTAAGCTTGTTAATTTTATCTTTTGCTTTGGAGAGTTGGGCTTCAAGATGTTCATTGGTTTCTTCTAGTTCAGCAATATAAGTTTCTTTATCTTCATCACTACTACTTTCATCACTACTACTTTCATCGCTACTATCTTCATCGCTATTTTCTTCATCATCATTTTCATTATCTCTATATTTCTCATAATCATCATTATTATATTGATAACAATATACGGACATAGTTGAAGATTTTTTGACTGTGTTAAAAAATACAACAAAAAATATCGGCGATTCCTGAAAGGAATCGCCTCCTTCATTTATTTGATTTATATTGTTTTATGTATACATTTAAAGTTTTGTAAAGAACTATAATATGTGATGAGAATGTTTAACATTATCAATACTCACAGTCAGGATTAAAAAAGACTTTTGCTATGTATAATGCATATCCAAATGCCATCCAGCCAAGATGCAGATAACCCCAACCAACCAAACCTGCAACAACTAGTAGATGCAGCCTTTTATCAAATCGGTAAATGTACATATTGAATGATAAGGTTTAGATAAAGACAAGGATTATGAATAGTCTGGTATATTTTATTTATTATAATAAACAAAAAAAAACAAAAAAAATTACATGATTGATTTGGATTTTACAATTCGATTTTTTTGTGTAAACATTATTTTTTATATCCGAATGCTTGCACCCAAATATCATTTTTGAATGCGGCACCAAAATAAATATAATCTTCACTAATAATTTGTCTTTTATGCCCTTCTGATGTCATCCAACCTTGAACTGCTTCTTTTTCATTTTTAAAAGAATGACCTAGATTTTCTACCCAATATATACCAGGAATTTTTTTACGCGCATCATCAATATGATCATAAATTTTTTTTCTATCCAAATAATTAACATATTCTTCTGCGGCTTCTACTAATTGACTAAAAAAAAATTAAAATATATTTTAAAATCAATTAATAAATAAAATAACTTACTTATTTAATACAAGTTTTTTAAGGCCAAGTTTTACTCTTTCTTCATTAGTATATTTTAATAAAAGATTAATATTAATGTCTTCTTTAGCATGACGTTGACCAAAAATTAATACCC